GACTTTGATCACTTAGAAGTATTTTAATATAAGTGGTTTAATGTGTAGTGAACAAGAACACTAGTGGGGACAATCGAATGTATTTGATGTGAAATTACAGAGCATCTCACTAAAATCTGAGAACCATATATTAAATAGTTAATTTGCAAAACATTAATCCATCGTCTCAAACTTGACTGTTTCTTTTTGCAAATATCGATCCATTGTTTCAGATTTCATTGTTCATGCATTTTCATACTAATTTCTTTCCGTTTCCATTCTTTTCTTATTGATCTTCTACTGAAATTCATTCTATGTCTGACCACCGTTATATACTACTTATGTAGATATACGTAACCCACATCACAAATAGTGATAACATTTCTAATACCATTTTTAAGAGGTTGAAATAAGTCTAATATGATTATTGTCATTTTTGTTTGATTTTTATTATAACTTAACAAGAGAACCAAATACAATAGTTTGTTAGTTATTATTTACTTTATTCGGAATACTTTATATTGTAATTTAAATGTTGGTCATAATTTGATTATTACAGTCAAACAATTTGTGTTATTGAATAAGATGAATGTAATTACAAACTAATTTTAAATGAATTGAATAGGCATTTCGTATTCATGGCCTTCAATCAATTTGTCAGTAATGATATAAAAAAAATATCTGAAAAATAAATCGGACTGATCCCATACTTAACTAGTTCAGCATCTAACAGCACAGTGATCTACTTCAGTCTTTTTTTAATCCAATGAATGATATATCAACAGAATTGTATTCCGTGGTATTTGTAACAGTTTATAAATGATTTTTATGTTATTGTCACTTCATAAACACTCAACACATTTTATTTACACGTATTCATTTTTTTTTCTCTTGTTTCCATATATTGTTTTATTCGTGGTTACTGTTATATCTAGAAGGTTGTTCTTGATATACCGCGTATAACGTGAGCACTAGAAAGCCAGAACCCTTCCAAGTCGCAATGAGAAGACAGAAGACTAATGAAAAGAATATTATTCCCAAATAGTGTCAATTATAGTACAAACTTGTCAGGTATTTATAGTTTTTAGTTAGAACAAAATCATCATTACAGTCCATCAATCCGCATATAGGGGGTTAATAGCATTGTCCGGTCGGGAAGCTAAACGTAGGAATTCTAGAACATTCTTCCAAAAGGTGATTGGATGGAATATCTTCGGCTCCTTCTGAGCCTCCTACAGCTTCCTCGAGTTTACCCGTGGTCCGTTGTCACACTTATCATAGTACTTTTTAAATAAATCCGAGTATCTCTTATCTGTAAATTACAGATAATGCACATTTCTATTTTAAGTACTAGTTATAAAACTAGCATTATTATAATTGATAAGAATGCAAGTTATTGTTCCTTCAACTTTAGTTCGATTATTATTACAATTCCTACATACCATTTGGATGAACTATTTGTTAATCATAAACAAAATCAATACAATTTTACATCTTAGCTGTCGATTTGGTTATAGGATGACTACTTGATCGCTAGTACAGACAGAGACACTCATCTCCAACGTCTTTACCTTGTCTTCGGACGACTGCAAAAGCACGACATTACTGTAAACATTCATAAATGTCAAACCGTCGCCATTTCTTCAGATTTTCTCAACCATACTATTGGTGCTCAGTGTTACGGGAGAACTGAAGACATTTGGCTGATAAAAACCTTTATATTAAATATTCTTAATTTCACTGTGTTCTTGGTTGTATTTGTTTTAATCAACTTCTGAACTTGTTTGTTTTTATCATTATTTTCGGACATTTTAGTTTGTATTAATCTTTAATTTGGTATTTGGGAGTTTTTGATCCGGGAACCTACAAAATTGAAGGTTTATTTCTATAATTGTTATAATTATTGTTGGAACGACATTTGAATCGACTATCTGTCAATTGCGAATAAACTTTGGTACCTAAATTAGAGTTTGATTCTACCGTTGATTTGGGTTTGTAAATTGAAAATAGATCGATATACCGTACCTCGATACCTGGAACGAGTAGAAACTTGGACGTAACACTCGAGGCATTCGACCTCTAAAAAGCAAAATGGTGGTCATTCTGGATTACTCAAAATCGACTACAATCAAACAACTACGCACGTTCAACGGCCTAGTAAGTTTTCATAAACCAAAACGTGTATCTCTTATGAGACCTTTAACTGACTAACTTCGAAAAAAATGAGAAAATCGTCAATTTGGACGACATCGCGAAAAGAAGGATTCTTTACAGTTAAGGAACTTATAGCCAAAACAACAATGATCACACATCAGGACACCCAGACACCCATTAATATCACAGTAGAATCATCCGACTCGGCGATCTGAAAAGTCTCACAGCAGTGGGTTAACTACATCTGACAACCTTTAGCATTATTTCCGATATAGTTGATATACACCGAATCGAGGTATAGCACTTGCGGTAGGGAAACTCTGGCCATGAATTGAGATGTACCACACTTCCAACATCCTGTCATACGATGAGAATTCACTTTGTTCACTAGTCACAAACCTCTTAACTTCTTTTTAAGCTCACCCTCAGACAAGTACTCTCCCCAAGAATCCCAACATGTGGACTTCATTTTGCAGTTTACTTCGGATATAAAACACGTTTCGACTGAATTTTATGGAACATTTACCAGAGTCCAATAAATATTCTTACGTCTTGACTTGTAAAGACCGTTTCACTCTATGGCCAGAGGTAGTACTCATCAAGGACAGTTTTGCTGAGATAGTAACCCGCACCTTCGTCGAACGGTGGGTAGCAAACTTCGGCTGCCCACCAGCTATCACTAAAAACTGTAGACGTCAGTTCGAATCTGGACTTTTCCGTTGTTTGACAACACTATTTGGGATCATACGAATCCGAACGGCCACCTACCATCCACAAGTAAACGGATTGGTACAATGACTTCACCGACAGCTTAAAGCTGCACTATCAACTGCAAACGTTTCACGGTGAACCGACGCCCTTCCACTCGTCTTTCTTGTTATTTATAGTTCAGAGAAAGCTGACATTAGATACACTGCAGCTTAACATGTTTATAGAATGGTACTCCGACTTCCAGGGTGATTCACGGATCCGTTTTCTTCTTCAATGACTATGGATCTCACACAAGAAGGCTTACGAACACAATGCGTTCAGTTAAACATGCCTCTACTCGACAGCAATCAACTAATGTTTTTGTTCAACCTGCCCTACGATATAGTACGCACGGCTTTGTACGTCGCGAGCATAAAACGAGATACTATATGATCGATTAGAACGGAACTAGCGATAACATCAATATCGATCATCTCAAAACCGCGTATTTAGAATGAACCTTTATTCATGTCGATTCTCCTCTGACACAACTGAGAGACAGGGGTTACATAATTACAACACCTCATCCGATGGTCGACAGTCAAGGTGACACTTCGGTGGCATTCGACAACGAACTCTAAATAACGCGTTTTCGAAGAAGATTAAGGTTTCTGAAACACTTAGATGGTTACTGCACGTAAGACACAATATAATACTTTGTTTCTTTCCGACATTTTGCATTGCCGTATCATAAAATACAATTAATAATATGCTAATATATATTTTTATTCCATAAAAACAAAGTGTAAATAAGTTGTTTTTTTGTTTGGCCGTTGTTTATCTGTACGCATGTACGAATACAATTAGACATGCACCTATATAGCCGTTTTTTCTTTTGAAAGACAGCTGGAAAAGATGAAAATCCGGTGAAGATTATGATGAACCGAAATTTTCATCATACATGTTTTACATTACTACATCGTACCACATGGCCTTTATAGTAGGGAAAGGCGACCAGACGCTGCTGAACATAGCAGGCTATCAGAAGAGTGTTTGCCAACGATAAGCTCGTTGGGTTTAAAACTGCGTTTGGACAAGTCTTAGGATCATAACTATGTCACTAATAGGAGGGGTGATCCGTAGCGTAAATAAATCTCCAAAATCAATAGCTCTTTAGGTCTTCGACATTTAATGTTGACCGAACCACTTTGACTTGAATTACTTAGATGAAGACGCTCGGTCATGATATCACACGAGACCAACAGGCCAGAGCATTTCACGTTCCCAGTCAGTGCTTGGCAGTTGTAATTTAGAGTTTCAGAAATCCGCACCTGATTAACGTTTATTTTTTTTATATTTCCGAATGTACGTTTTTGTATCTTGTGAAGCGATACGCCGTAAAGTTTTTAAACACACGCCTAAATAAGAATGCAGTAAGTAGATACAACTGGTGTGCTAAATCAAACGAAAAAGATAACATGTTGAATTATCTATGTTGAAGGAGCAGGTAGCACATATATCCAAACAGGCTGCCTATTGTGATCGCTAAATGCAACTTATCGTTTGTATCTCGATACGGGTCAACTTTCTGAAGAAATAACCAGGTCGACTGTGTTTTTGTGTATTACAGGTGCGGTTCGTAGAACTTTACTCCCAGTTATTTATATATTTATCACAATATTTGCACTACGAGTATTTGTTGTGCCCGCCAGTTTTCGCAGCGTATTATGAACGAGAGATAGTCAAAGCGTCGTCACTAAATACGTGTACAGTTTCTGAGGGATTAGCCGCTGAGATGACCTATTTATCTGTTAATTATAAATGAAAATGAAGGCACTGAGATTAAATGAATTCGAAAGGACTTTTGAAGAAAATTCTCCTTTAAAGCCACATATGATTTAACTGTTTGTTCGTCTGTCTTTGCTCTTTCATGTCTGTCAGGTATGGCACATGGTGCGGGTGGAGTTTTCAGCTCGGATCTACTGAAGTTCTAAAACCTGAGCGTTTGTTTATAATAAGAGCTGCAAAATACAATGCTTTGATAACAACTTTGGTATTGATATATCATTAGTGAAAATTTTTATGATGTAAAATGTTCAAAAACTATATTATATGTAGATGTTTGCTACAAGAAATTTATTACCGCAGATATCTTTTACTATTTTTGTTTTAACAAGTAGCGCGACGCCATATTTACACCTTTGTTCGTCGTTGCTGACTCATATCGAATTATTTACCGTTTCGATGGCGCCCAAGAAAAAGACCAATGAGATAGTAAGCATTTAATTTGTAAACCACTAAACGGCTTCTTTTTTCCTGAAATATTTGGGAAATTTATTTTCTCAAGAGGTGTCTATCATTTTGAAGTATTATCTAGATTATCATCCTTGTCCTGTTATACAGTCGGTTTGTCCTTCTTAATCAGCAAAAGTACTTTCTTGACCTCAAGTTGATGTCTTTTACCCGATTTTTGCTGACTGTCAATAGTTAGGAGTTCACTCATGCGATTGTTATCATTAATATACTGTGGTTCATATGATAGTAGATGGTAAAGATAATTCATTGGACTGCATGTAATTTAATTCGGGCAGTTAGTTACCCCGTCACTATTTTTGTTATTCTCATTGTTTTTAGGCTTGTTGGTCACATTTGGTGTTTGTCTGACATTTGGGTTACTGATTTTATGACTTTACCATTAAACCCTAAAACAGTTCTTACGGTCATTTGGTTGACTGATCACTTTCAGCACTCAGAAGGGTCCAGATCTGGTTAACTAAGTTTTTGTAGAACAAATCAGTTGTACGTCGTAGGTGATGGTATTATACTACATAAGTGCCTTGTAGCTCGTATGACTAAGAGTGTGTTTATGGACCTAGATAAAGCATGCGTTGTTTAACGTTTTCCGTTCCTTTTGTGTAGCTATATAATGCAGTGGCGATGTTGATTACTGTGCGGTTTTACCCGATGTGCGTTTAAAATCACCTACTGGAAGGAAAAACAAACCACTCATTTTGCAAGTTTTTTGTCCGATTTTGCTCACTTGAGCAACAAATTTTATAAGTACCGTACTATTGACCTTGAGCGGCTAATTACCATACTAGGAGAGTTTGACCTAATGATGCTTATATATATATATATATATATATATATATATATATATATATCGTCCTTAAATTAGTCTCGCCCTATTAATTGTTGAGCGGACTGGCGTAAGGAAGTCCGTTAGAAATTAGATTTGAATGGGTTAGGTATCAAGTTCAGAGTGGATATTTCCACACCATTGTAAAATCACAGTAGCTACACCACATGTGTTTATCAATTTTAAGCATCCTAAAAATCAGATATATGCAGGTTGTATTTAGTTTCTAATAACATACGAGGTTTTGATTACTACTTTTCAGATATCGTGTGAAAATTCAATAAGTGGTATTTTTAGTGTAATTGGTTCGCCAGTGTAGTATACCTTTACCGATATTCGGATTTTACGTTGGTATTGACTGACTATTCAAGAAATATATATTGAGAGAATGCCAAACGTTTTGAAAAGCTCATCATGCTATGTCATGATATCTTAGTGTTTGTAAACTTTCATTTGCAGGTAACACGGGGTCGTAGTAAATCAACTAGTCGGAGTACTTCGAAAGTTCGTGCACGAACCCCAAGCTCTGCACGGTCTCGATCAAAAACACCTACTAGGCGAGCGCGTACGCCCGCCTCTGAATCCAAGGTGAGACGTAGACGTTCTCCGAGCGTTGACCCAAGTGAAGAATCTGTCAAAAGTGTTACAAAAACAACCCAATATACCGAGACTGTTTTTGACCGCCCTGTTCAAACTGACATGTTTAAATCATTGCCTCTAAACCATGGACTGTCTCGTTTTTCCCAAAAAATTATCAAGAAAATAGAAACAGAAAAACCAACTCATTTCTATGAAGAAGGGTAAGTTCAGTGTTCTGGATTTCACACGCCGTTACACTTAGTAGCTGTACCTTTTTGAATTCATACAGCATTGTAGACTTCCACTTTGTTCACAAAGAGAAAATATGTATGTACAGAATGCTACCATCTTCAATTCAATATGTTACTTCACCTAGGCATTGACAGAGTTCCGATCAGTTTGGTTTGATGCAATAATGATTGCTTTCTGTTCTCAATCGGTTCATGAAATCGAAGGATCTACTTGTTGATATTTGAGTTTCTCATTTAGATTAGTTGTTTTACTGATAATGTTATCCTTCGTATGCTGATCAAGCTATATTTACTGAGTAATGATTTTATTACTTATAGTTTTTTCTGACATATATAAGCACGTTCAGTTGGAAACTGTTTATCCTACCATAGCCTTTGAACGATCTTATAATGCCCTGGGAGATAAGTCCGAACAGTGTTTCGTTAGCACGGTATCATTGAACATTGTAAAACACCATACTTTAAGACATTTAGAATATTAGGCTTGATAAAGTCACAAGTAAACCATGTGTTCGAAAGCTCTTCAGGGTAATTTGTTCACTTAATCACTTGACAGTGATCACATGAACTGATCGTAACTTATAATCGCTTTTATCTCGTTTCCAGTTTTACGGGTGTAATATATTGTGAAGGAACTATCAGTACTCCCTACTATTAATACTCATGTTTGCTAAAACACTCTCGTGCACGTGAATCATGTGACTAAATTATTCAAATCGACTAGTTCGAACCTGCCCATATTTTTACATCTCTAAACATTTTATGTGTATAGAAAACTGTACCAATGATGTAAGAAACGCTAGCAGTTTGTTAAAATTAGAGGAACTGGTGTATTATGAAGGACCGCTGCACGGATGTTTCCGCTCAAACGGTTCCGTATAAGTACTAGTTGTTCTGCGGCGAAGGATTCTATATTCATTATTGTCCTAAAACCGGTAAGCTTCTGCTTTCGTCCAAAGTAAAATGCTTGACTAAAAAGTGTGCTTGAATAATCAACAATACAAACAGTTTTCTGCCTCCTGGATATGCCACCCGTTCTTTCCAGTGAATTCTATCAGTCAAGAATAACCGTCTAGTAGACTGTTCATTTGTCATTAGCAGGTTGTATGCTTATAGCTGACTGTATTGTTACTCTCAATCGCTTTTCTACAACATTCAGAACAATGGGTAAAGGTGACGGTGATTATTAAGTTCAAATTACTACTTTTCTGTCTTGAAAACAAGAGCGTGTATAACACTTTATTCCTAAAAAGCTTAGTCTAGAGCAGTAACATATTAAATAATTTTTTCTTTGACCCGGTAACAATATAAGTAAAGACTTATCAAACTACTGCAAGGCCATCTGCAAACTGTCTTCGTTGCATAGACCGGTTAATTGATGAAACTTCCGTCATACGCATTTGATTTCATTTATAAATCTGCAGTTCACTATCCGCTTGAGTGTTATGCATCCTCACTCCGATTAACCACTAGCGCGCATTTCAATCAATTGAGTACGGCAAGTACTCGTCTTCTCTGTTTGTAGCAGTGTATTGCTAGAAGCATATGTTAGTACCATCGATATTTCAAGTGGTAGCTTGTTGGGGATTCAAAGAACATCTTTTTATCAGTCGATAGTCTGAAGCAACGTCGGTTAAGTGACGCAGTCTTGATTCATCTGCTCGAGCTAAGGCATTACATTTCCTCCTAAAAATCAGTGTTTTAAATCGTTCGTAAGGTACGTCATAACAATCTAAGTCTATGTATTCCTGGTTAGTTTCCACGCAATTCTGAAAAAGTTGTTTTGAAGCTTAAGTATATGAGCAAACAACTCACAAGCTAACATTTTGGTAGTACGCTTTATTGAGATAGTAGAGATTTGTAGCTCAGGTTGATGATTTTGTTGGAGTTTTGTTTTGTGAGCTGGATGGTTTGGTCGTGGAGTTTTCATCGTCCTGGACATCATCAGCACAAACTTCGGGTAGACGTGTGTGCTGATGATGTCCAGGACGATGAAAACTCCACGACCAAACCATCCAGCTCACAAAACAAAACTCCGTCAAAAAGTACGCTATATTAAATATGTTGTTTTATATCTTTCTTATAGACTAGTTCACAAGCCGGAAGCGATCCAACCACACAAACCAGTAACACTAACTCCACTCTTAACAAATTATCGTAAAACGTTGTTTAGTCCAACTGTTGTTGCTATTATTCAAGTACTGTTCATTATACCATTTGTTTACTGGCTGAACCTTCTGATATTTGCACCTGTTTCAGTAAGCAATTTTTCCGGCGAAAATAAAAGCTTATGGGAATCAGCGTTTCCACTAATTGAAATTCTTTGGCCAACTGGTGATAATAAAAGTTTGTGGGGTCCTGCACGTCCATTTCTTGGAGTTCTTTGGCCAACTGACTGGCACAACTATATCAATATCCAGAGTTCTGTGCTCGTCTTTATGTATCTTTTGTTGCAGTGTCTAGTTGCTCGTTTTCTCCCTATTGGTCGAATTGTTACAACGGGGATCCGAAATATCGACTACCGCTGTAATAGTAAGTTTTCTTGCTGTTGGAACGAAGTCTATATCAAGCACAGTTGATTAAAAAGCATAACTGCTCCCTGTCATAACCAAATTAAGCATTAATTTAGAACGAATATCTGAATAACGTAGAAATTAAGTGCTACGTGTTGCTATATGCCAGTAATTATGTAAATAAGTAACGCACTAGTACTGTATTTTTAAAATCACTTGTTCAAAATGCAATTCTATTCATAAAAATCTATTGTTGATCAACTTAATCGGTAAATACATCGTTTTTTCAGATAATTTGAGTAGTTAGTACCTTCAGAAAAAAACAATCTAGCAAACTTAACTAGAGGATTGTTTATTACCATGTTTCTATCTCACCATTCATAAAGTTGAACATGTGCTTTTAGTGGTGACATTTTAAATGAAGTTTCTTCAAAATCTTATGAAACAATAAAACATAAACAATTCTCATCCATTAATCTAAAAAAAATTTTCTGTTATCGTTATTTTAATATTGTATGCATTTATCCTTGTAGGTCTGATGTCTTTTATCATCTTCATTGGGTTGTTCGCTTTCGCTGAAATTTCCGAGTGTACTACAATCAGAAACTTAAAACCAAGTGAAATGCTCCCAAACCTGTGGCTCAGTTTACTGACTTCATCTTGTTTGGCGTCTCTTTTTTTGTCGTTTGTTGCGTATTTCGCCTCTAAGACAGTTGTACGATATACAAGACAATCAGCGGCCAAAACAAGTTAGTGAAAATGGTCGACTCTGTTTTTAACCAGTTAGCTTATATGATTTCTATTTAATTTTAATCAGTGTTGTAAGGAACGCATGTGTTATTTTCTTGATTTTAGTCGGTTTCATATTCATACATTTTTAGTCTCGAAAAAAACTGTTATTCTGTATTTGCTCTTTTTAGTTTATTTATTTAACTGCACAGTACTCATGTTCATTTCACACTAAAGCATATGTACGTTTTGTTGGAAAGCGACTGTTAGCCTGCCCTTAGGTTTTTATTGTAAAGAGTGGAACCGATCACTCCAAAAAAAACGTTCGTAAAACTTTATATCTTCAATAGGCTCACTATCAGTGCTGACAGTACTTATCATTTATGAATTAATTATACAATTATTTAATGCATGCTTTTCTCACAATTTATAGGTAGTATTTTCCTTGATTTTTGGTGTGGTCGTCACGTACGACCCCAGTGGTTTGGTATTGATTGGAAAATGACTATAACACGGTCGGGATTGATGGCATTGCCCTTAATAGACTTAACGTATATATTCAGACAGTATGAGCAATATGAACGCATTAGCCCGGCTCTTGCTGCGCATGCTCTTATGCACGCTTTATGGGTGCTTGACTTCTTCATCTTCGAGGTACGTGGTGTAGTGTATTTTCATGCGTACTTGGTTTTCTGTTCTTTGTTGTATACTGTAAGTAGCCAATATTAATTAGAAAATTGTTTTTCGGAGAATAGCAAACATTATCGAAATTTATGTAATAATACATTGCGATGTTCTACTGCATATACCATGTTCCCTATATTTATTTTAGCATACCTTCTCCTTTACTTACGAAGCGCAATCTGTAACATTCGGTTCTTGCTTTATTATCAGTCGATTGGTCGCTTTACCTTTCGTATATTCCATAACAAGTTCATACTTGTCTTCAAGACCTGATGTTGGCAGACAGCTAACTAGTTCTTCAAAACATAGTTGTAATGCTTGGATTATGGGAATTGCTATTGTTTTATTTTTACTGGGATTATGGATTTATCGTAGATCAAACAACCAGAAAGATAGATTCAGACGTGATCCCCACGATCCATCGTTTGCTAGTGAGTTAACGTATATTTCTTGTCGAGGTTGATTTTGCTCTTTGTACAGTTTTGATATTTTTTAAATTGAGAATAACTAGGGACCTTGAAACGTCTATAGTAGCTAGTTTATCCAACGCTTTATTTTTATTTTGATTGTTACATCCATAAAGAACAACTAACATGTACGCAGTTAGTGTGTAATAACTGTCATCTATTTAATACTGAGGATGAACTGACTTAATTTATAGTTATATTATGTTTTCCTACTTTAATGCTTTATTATTTTCAGCGTATATTATCTAGGAAATCTCATTTTCTAGTCACACGTCACCAGTTATGACCACACGTTAATGGTATGGTAACAGTCAACACCAGAGTTGGTTTGTCGCTTGTCCTAAAGCAATTTATTTATTGAGTTTCCTACAGAACATAAAATTTGCATTGGTTTTTTAATCGCATATGTTTTGGCGTTTCACAATTTGTATTGTCGTGTTCATAATTCATAGTTTAGTACTAAAGTCCTCATAACGTTATCGGTTGCTTTATTATTAACATTTTGTTGCGAAACTCAGCTGACGAAACTTCAAATATATACACAGACATGCATTCTGATTATCAATTCATCGAATGACCGAAGAATTATAAAGTAAAAAGGGGTTCAACATGCAATGCTATCCCGTAATTTTTATTGCTTATAGAATTTATGTGAAATAGAAACTCACTAACTTGAGAGTTTGTAGGTTTATTGATGCAGTGAACTAGGCCAAATGTATCTCCAACCAATCAGATCTCGGGTAAGAGCACTAATTTTGTTTAATCCTCGAGCTACATTAGAAATCTTTAACAATTCTGATACAACTGAGCTAACTGTTAGTTTTCGATATAAGACAGGATTTAATCAGTAACAATAATATGCGTACAGTTTCATTTGTGTATTTTTTAGCATAATCAAAATTATCAACTTGTCCATCTGTTCCCGTTTTTAGATGCTGAAATAGTTGTTGGACCAGGTGCTCAACGATTACTAGTTTCGGGTCTTTGGGGTTATGTTCGCCACCCAAATTATGTGGGTTACATTATTTTGGCCGTGGCAATGCAGGTTCCATGCGGTGAGTTTTATTAATTTCTATGTGAATAGGAGAGCAATATTGTTTGGGTCACTAGTGTTTTTCGAAAATCATCCTTAACACTAAATCTGTACACAACACATTATGTAGATACAATACATAAATTTTTCAGGATTGAGCAACTAAATCACAGAGTTTACCAGACGACCGTTGGATTGGTCCACAGTCACCTGGGTAATTGCCGAAACAAGCCTGTTTGAATCGGCACTCGTACTGATCGCATTACTATGATTTGTCGTGTTGATCGCTGGCAATTGATACTAACTTTCCACATTACTCTCTTTATAGGTTTCGACTCTCCACTGTTATGGGGAATTTCCGCTATCACAATTCTCAACATTATTCATCGTTCTATAGTTGTGGAGGATGCTTGTTTAAGAAAACATGGTCCAGCATGGCAAAAGTACACAGCCTTGGTGCCGTATCGATTCATACCTAAAGTTTTTTAATTACTACTTATTTCATAATATTTATTGCATTTATGTCAATGTGTTTTATATATTTTTCGCTCAATGGTCAATTCTTATAAATTTTAATGTTTATAGATTTATGCTCTTTGTTTTAATGCAAACTTTTAGAATTCTTCAAATTGGCAGCATTCATATATCCAAGTTTTGTTATTACAATCTATTAGGTGTACAGTTTTCTATCTAACCTTTTTTACTCCCAATGTTTTATTCTAATAATAAGTCGATGTTTTTTAATCTCATTGCTTATCCCCATAAAAAATTACAAAAGAACAATATAGTCTTTTTTTAAAATCTATAAAGGGCTAAAAACAAATTTTGAGCGTATATTCGTAACTCAGAGATGAATTGCAACTGTGGATTCATGGACTGTTTGTAACCAAAAAGAAGTCAAGTTTAGGATATGTATATAACGGTCATCCTTCAATCGGTTTGTAGAAAAGAGTTGACACGAATTTTTGCCTGAAGCGTGTGATTACACTCAGCACAATTACGCCGTCCTGAGGAAAAATAAAAGTAATAAATGTTTCATCCAAGCATCCATTTTTGAACTTGTTAAAGAGGGAAATGTTAAACACCTCAATTGTGTAGATTAAGAAGTATAGTTTCTGTCGCTGTATAAAAAATTCCAGCAAAGTACAAATATTGTATGTGATTGCTATTAGAGTACTGTATTTTCCTAGATTGTCAGTTAAACTCTAGCAACTCATAATGAATTGTCTCCTGCAACTCGAAGTTACCTAGACCATAATTCTAACAGTTTACTCATATAGAGTTTTGAGATGGTGGAGAAGATTTGTAGCTCAGGTGGATGATTTTGGTGGTGTTTTGTTCTCTGAGCTGGATGGTTTGGTCGTGGAGCTTTCATCGTTCTTCTGAACGACATCATCAGCACGAACTTCAGATAGAAGTGAAGTGTTCGAATTTCTCCATATGTGTTTCACAGCTTGTTCTGTGCACCTCGATGTTGATTGGTTCTTGTTGACCTTAAATTTATCATTGTTTACTTCTTTGTTTTGGTTGTGTCTCCCATTGGTTTGATTTTTGTTCCTATATTTATGCATGATTTTCCTGATTGGTTGATAAATTGGATTGATCTCAATATGTTTGTTGATTGCTGAGTGCCAAGCTTCTACAAATTCTCTGGTGTTTTTGGAGTTTCCTCTGTCTAAGATTTCTACATTTTCTCAATCGAATGAATGTCCGTAGTTATCCACGTGTATTGATATAAGTGAAGAGATATCATGGCGTTTGACTGCTAATTGATGTTCATGTAGGCGTAGGTGGAGGGGGCGTCCGCTTTGTCCGATGTAGTGTTTGTCGCATTTGGTACAATTTATTTTGTAGATGATGTTTGATTTATTTTCCTTTGTTATTTCATCTTTTGGTTTGCATAGGATTGATTGTAATGATTTTGTTGGTTTGTGTGCCACACATATCCCGAAGGTTTTCAGCAGTCTCGTTGTGGTTTCTGATATTCCTTGTATGTACGGTAGGGTGATCCTTTTGTTGATTTTTGTGCTTGATTTGGGTTCTGATGCTGTGTGCCGTTGGTGCTTTTTGATGAAAACCAAAAGATGAAATAACAAAGGAAAACAAATCAAACATCATCTACAAAATAAATTGTACCAACTGCGACAAACACTACATCGGACAAAGCGGACGCCACCTACGCCTACATGAACATCAATTAGCAGCCAAACGCCATGATATCTCTTCACTTATATCAATACACGTGGATAACTACGGACATTCATTCGATTGAGAAAATGTAGAAATCTTAGACAGAGGAAACTCCAAAAACACCAGAGAATTTTTAGAAGCTTGGCACTCAGGTCAATCAGCAATCAACAAACATATTGAGATCAATCCAACTTATCAACCAATCAGGAAAATCATGCATAAATATAGGAACAAAAATCAAACCAATGGGAGACACAACCAAAACAAAGAAGTAAACAATGATAAATTTAAGGTCAACAAGAACCAATCAACATCGAGGTGCACAGAACAAGCTGTGAAACACATATGGAGAAATTCGAACACTTCACTTCTATCTGAAGTTCGTGCTGATGATGTCGTTCAGAAGAACGATGAAAGCTCCACGACCAAACCATCCAGCTCAGAGAACAAAACACCACCAAACTCATATAGAGTGCCCTATCAGTTTGTATTAAAGGCTTTCTATTAAAATTGTAAAATAAACGAAGCAGATTGCGAAAATGTACAGCTACTGAAATTGTTTAATAGTCGGGTGCGTGTATATCACTACTACGCATAAATAACAGGTCGTCACATAATGTTTGTCCGTCAGTAATGTAATCTTCATGGAAATACATACCCACTCGGTAAAAAAAATAAGCAAGCTAATATGTACGTACACTGGGTAAATGGAACTACTCACCTTTATCGAGAGGGCATATAGGTGGTTGACAATTACATGATTTGGTTGCGGCAGCAGATTAGGATCACAATGGGTGTTTGTATCCATATTTAAAATACCCTGAAATTAATTTTCCATAAAAGAACAAGCAGTAATGTAGACAAGGAATTCTTATCGGCATATTGAAATATTCTGTTACAATAAGTTATAAGATGGTGAATTTCCAAATATTATCGTCAACTGAGACTTCTTGTCGGTGGTTGTATTCTAAACTTTGTATATAAACCACTGAAGGTAATTCATGATACAGTTCAGTAAAAATTACGTCACATTTGCATATTTAGTGCAAATCTACAGTGATGAGTGCATGGGATTGCCATGTTTTGCAATAACGTAAAACAGCCTAGATCAGAGAACTAATTGAACAACGCTGTCAGTTAGGAGTGAACAGTAGGTTAGCTGCTTTTCTTTGATTGTAATTTCAACATTACCATTATGAAGGGCCTTTGTTATTATGCAGTAATACCTTAAGTATATCCACTTTCACAAGGGCTTGTGTAGGCGTCGTAGTCCATAAATTTATAGAATAGTGAGTAAATTCTGAATACATTTCATGGCATTCCAATCTTAAAGAACAAGATCACTAGGTATGTGTCAATCTTTTTTGATTCCAAGTGTACAATGTCAATATATCTGCCTCGAGATCTGATACACGTTTTACAAACCAGCATTTCCTCACTGCGGTTAATTGGGATATTCAATAGGATTGCGAGCGAGGATTCATTCGAGCTACCACGCTTATCAGGGTAGAGAGAGCATGAGCAATGTTAATTGCGTTGAAAAGCTAATATGTACTTAAGATATAGGGAAAGGTAGCGAGTCAACACAAGTAGGTCATTCCAATCGGTGTTGCTTAATGCCATTTAAGTTGCTTAACCACAATTTGCAATTATCCTTTAAAGCTCAATTAATCGATGATAGTTTGAAGTTCACTGAATCTATGTTCTAATGCCCTGTCTTCGTTTCGACGTTACCTTCCAACCTCCCGAGTAAACCAATATGGCAGGTTAGCGTTTAGGCAGTGGAATATCACATTAGCAAACAACCACAGCCTGATCAATAGACTAACTGAAACTCCAACAATAACAAAAGAAAAACTGAAGAATTAAGTTAATGGTATCTCCAACATTCCAAACTTTCGATTTGATGAGTGAACTAATTAGAACAACGATGATTTTATTTGTAACAAGTTTATTAATATGATCGGTCTACGAAACTAGTTTGCTTGAGTTAGTTAAGTATAAACTCATAAGAATCAATAGGAATCCCAATATAATTTTATATCATATGTTCTCATTAGGAGTAAGACAAATTTATTGATTAGATGAAATCTATTTTGTTTATATATACATGGAAGTAGTTTATTATGTAGTTTCCGTTACTTTGTAAAGGTTATTTTCCCTCTTCTATTTCTTGATAGTATTGTGAGTTTATTGATGACCTATTGCATCAAACAGCCTTATTATATGTGCTATTAATTATTAAAATTAAATTGCATGTAAATACATATTATTGATCAATTCGATGTATATGATCCAACATGTGTACTTGACTTGGAGTTATCATGTGTTTATGTGATGGTTATTTCTTAATAGTACTCGAATGTTAAAACCATAGTAATATTGGTAGATCAGACAGAATTCGAAATTTATGACCTACTAATTGAAAGTTGATTATCTTAATCACTATACACGACATTAGGCTAACGATGATAATTGCAGACTGTTTTACTATAATTTTGTAAAATGACTTAACAGTAATGTAGAGAATTCAATTACATGTCACCAATATGTACCTATTATTGCAACTTCTAGTATGTAAAACAAAAAAAATTTCCCCGTGAATGATTTTCAGAATGGTAAGTAAAATACAAATTTTTTCGTGATTCATCAAATGAATATTATGTACACATGGTATAGGCTAATCAATAGATTAGTATAGGGAAAGTCAAGTGATCATTTCAATATTTACTGTTTTAGACTAGAATATTTATTCAAATTGGTGTATTATCAGAGCGAAGAAAGCAGTTACACTACATTTGTAGAGTAAAATTTGTTTTATTGTTAATGAAATACACATTAACAGGGACCATTAATTCAATAAAACTAAATTATTTCAGACAATTATACAAAGGGTAGAGGAAGATTGGAACAATCGGGAAGCTACACGTAGAGATTCTGGAATTTTCTTTCAAACCATATTTGGATGGAATGTCTTCAGCTCTTTCAGAGCTTCCTTGAGTTAACCGAGAGCAGTCCCCATACCTCCCATCTTTAAAGTCTCTTGTGTAAGACTTTCTGTTTGCGCCCACTTGAAAATTGGTTACCGCATTCCTCTTGCGGTTCATCACTCTTGAAGGTTGTACTGTTTTGCCCTTTCGTCTTTTATATCTCCTGCTTTCGTTTTCCTCAGGGCTTTTTTGAAATGAATCCACGAATATTTGAAGCGGGAGCCGGCTTTGTGTAATCGTTGTTCTACCATCCCTTCGAATTTGATTTACATGTCTTATACAAGTCCCGACACTTCTCCGAATTACAGTACTTTTCCAATCCGACGTTTAATAATATCTGGTTCTCGTTTTTTATTACCTTGATACGACTTGATAAGAACCCTTTCACTCACCTGGAAGTTGCGAGTGACTATATAATACTCATTTATATGTTTATTTATCTACCCAGGTGGCAATAATACTTTTAAAGACTGTCTGAACTTCCCTTCCAAACATACACTCAACTGGGGACTTTCCTTCTTACATTGCCGAATAAGGTGTAACTTTGTAGAACGTTAGGAAGTTACTCACCACTTGTGGTGGAATATCCTCTTCTTCTCT